TGAACATGTTGGAGAAGGGGTCTCATGTTAAGGGTCCCCTCCAGTGTAGGTCTGCTCTGTAGCTCAGGGTCCCTTCTATCCTCTGTCATTTGGATATCATAGCTTCCTTGTTCCACTTTTGGGCTGGTAAGATATTGAAAGTTTGCTTTGGGCCCATTACTTTTTACACAGTTTCTTCCATGGCCATTCGTAATATGAGCAGCCCATATGTGGCATATTTACTGGCTTCAGAAGCTACTGTTACACAGCCAAACCCCAGCAAAATTCCCACATCCTAGGTTTGGAGAAACTTCTGCAGTTATAACACAACTTTCACTGTCTGAACCATTAGAACCATTTTGAATCGAGGTCTAAAAAGCACCCTTCCTAAACACTGTCAAAAGAGCTGCTTTCCTGGGAGTGAGATGTTTTGAACAGCATGCCCAGCTCTGAATTTCAGGGACACCAGATCTACCCAGTCTGCTCAGGGTCCTCTTTGTTTCTCTTTCATTCTCTTCCTCCTTCAGTGGCTATTTCCAGGCCTGGTAAAGTTCATGACATCTCTCAGAGGAAAATTTGCCCTGTACTGATCTTTAAATTCATGGTTAGGCCACAGTGTGATGAACAGAGAGACCAGTGAATACTAAGGTGTTGAGCCCCACTCTGCTCCAAGGACAGAGGACGACAACGTGGCCACATGGTGTGGCAGGGTACCTTACATGCCTGCAGCCTCCTGCTCAGGGACCAGGAGTATTTGAGAGCTGCTCATGGTGCCTTGTGGTAGGTAAAACTTGAGGGCAGACAGGGAGCCACCTTGCTAGAAGCTCACAAAAAAAACATTTCTTGCCAAAAAATAATGGCTTTGTGAACCACGTGCCCCAGTGGCCTCTTAAATTGTCCAGCTATGGTTATATTTGAAACTATATGTTCAAAATACCATGTTAAAGGATGATACATTAAGCACAAAATAAGCTTATTGAATTTATATCCGGCTTCTGGGAGAACATGGCAGACAGATATCAGCAGCTACGGAGGCTCTCTGAAAGACCCAGCTTAGAATTCAGGAATGGTACAGAGTAAGAAATCATAAGCAAGAGGAGATATGCCCTGCTGACCCAAGAATTAACTGGGCTGAGAGAAACCAACTGGGAATGCAATCCTGGTGCTATAACAGGAACAGAAAAACCTCAGTGTGGAAGCTGGAGCCCATGCCATTGGAAGCCATGATTTGGGTTTCCCCCACCGCTGCTGCATCTACACTGGCTCAGCAGAGAGAGAGATGAGAAACCTCTGAGAATGGAAATCAGTGAACAGAGTTGAAAGCAGGACGGGCGGGGAGCTGTGCATTGACCTGTGGTGAGTGAGAGAAACTGGGACTCTTCCACGGTCTAGGATACTCCAACAGAGGACATTCTGGGACTGGGCAGACTTGCAGGAACATGGCACTGCAGTGACTTCAGTCACATATCCTCCTCTCAAGCAGGATTGGTGAGCAGTGCCTAGCCTATGTGATGCTGCTGGCTGAGACCCAGTAGTCTAGCACAACCCAAGTCCCAGCGCCTGAAGGTAGATTGACCTGGAGGGTCGGGCCCTGCATAGGCTGCCTGGTCTGCAACTTCCTGGTATGCTGCGGTGGGCGGGAACACCTAGCTGGCGCAATTCAATCAGACTGTGGCCAACAGGGAAGGAAGCTGGGCCTCCTATATATGCTTACATATATAAGGAACAAAGAATATGGGAAAAGGCAGCAACAAGAAAGGTTCCTCAGTTCCCAATCCTGAGAAAGACGCAGTAGCAGATACAGCACCAATAGATATAAAGAGCTATCTCCAGAGCCTCATAGACAAGTTCAGGAATGAAGTTATTAATGACCTGAAGCTAGACATAAGCAGAACAGTTAGAGAAATGCTAAGCACCACCCAAGAAAAAACAGATGGTGGAATAGAAGAACAGAAAAAGAGGGGAGAATTGTTTAATGAAGAAAATAGAGAAAGCATAGAATATGTGAAGCAGGTTCAAAGAGATTACCAGGAAACTAAAAACTCTATCGAAAACTGGCATAAAAGCTGGAAAGAAATTAAGTACAGATTATCTGAACTGGAGGGCAGACTTGCAATATGGGAGCATGAAATGAAAAACTTCTTAAAAATAACAAAGAAACAAACAGCAATAATAAAAAGACTAGAAGATGATAAGAGGATCTATAACTTAAGAATTAAGAACATAAAAGAAGAAGTAGGAACAAAAACAAATAAACTACCAAAGCTACTCACAGAAATAATCCAGGAGAATTTTTGTAATTTAGTAAAAGGTAAAGATACTCAGTTGTATGAAGCATACAAGACCCCAGCCACCTACAACCCAAACAGAGCAACACCCAGGCATATAATAATTAAAATTCCAGAAATCCAATACAAGAACAGAATATTAAAAGCCATCAGAGACAAGAAACAGATCACTTACAAGGGAACACCCATCAGAAATACAGCAGATTTCTCGGCACAAACCATCAAAGCACGAAGAGTGAGGGGGAAATAATTCAAGCTTTGAAAGATAATAATCTCCAGCCAAGATTGATATATCCTGCACAACTATCCCTGGGAATTGATGGATAAACAAGGTGCTTCCAGGATAAAGAGGAACTAGGGGAATATGCAACCACCAATTCAACTCTACAGAGAATACTGCAGGATATTCTAAAAAAGAAAAATACAAAGAATCCAGAAATAGTGGCAGAGAGGCCACAATGAATGGAGCCGAAAACAAAATGAAGAAGACAAACTGACAACTAATAACAGAAAAAGAGCTCAACAGAAATGAGGCAGAGAAGATTGAATGACAGGAACAGCTATTTTGGAGAAAATGACATCTTAAGAGGTAATACTGACGTCTTAAGAGGTAATCATCTTGTTTTGAAGTCTCGTCAAGCTTTTGTTCTTCTGTCTCCATTGGTCTAAACAGGTTGTATCTTATTGGATTTTATTATGTATGATAGTATAAGCAAAAAGTTTTATAGACAAGGAGATTATAAAGAAACCATTGTTCATTTTCTGTTAGTTGAATCTAAATACCCTGGACTACTGTCATTCTCTTAAATGGTTTTACATTGTTTTGATATATTTGATGCTACAGTATGTGAAATTATACTCAAAGATTTCAGGGAAAGAGACAATATGGTAACTACTTTTATGTCGGGATTATCTTGTGGTGAAACACTATTTTGCTTAAATGGTTATGTTTTGATCTGCGCTTTTTTGTTGTTATGCCCTCTTTTATCTCAATCTCCATTTTATTATTTACTTTTTTATTTTTATCCTTTTAATTAAGGGAAAAATAAATAAAAATAGCAGGATATATTATAGTAACCCACTTGGACTTTCCATTATCTTGATTTAAAGCCCTGTATTCCTCTCACCATCTTGTTTTGACTGATGTTCCTCTATTCTGTTTTGCTTGATAGTACCATATTTGAAAGTATAGGCAACAACTATGAAGACAATAAGGTTCATTGTGATGCCCATTCTGGTTGACTATTATCTTCTTTTGAAGTCCTCTAATGTCTCCAATGTTTTGGTTTTATTGGTCTTATTCTTTACTATTTTGTTCAATTTTATTATAACTGATGATATAGGCAATTCTATTAGTGATAGTGGGAGGCATTATGGTAACTATTGTTGATCACCTTGTATTATGCTTTTACATTATCTATTATGTCCATCCTTTTGATTTGACTGACTCTGTTCTGTTATGTCACATTTGGTTCTACTCTCTTCCAAAAAAGTAATAAGAACTGTGGGAGCAACAAAACCCAAAATGTGTAATTGTCATTGTACAAAAGAGAGGCAAAGAAAGTGCTCTAAATGATATAACTGCATGTATATTTAAGTGTATAAGATAGATAATGATATTACTGAATTTTGTTGAATCATTGAACAGAACTGTTTGCAGTCTCACTGTTGGAATATCCACTTTATAAGCTTTAATTTTGTAACTTGAACAATTATTTCTAAGATGACAATATGTAATCCATTAACTAGTGATTTCCTACTGTTTATTTTTTTCTGTAAATCTGTATAACTTGTACCCTTTCTCTGCTTTTTTTCTTTTTCTCCTTCAATAAAATTTAAAAAAAATTTAAAAAAGAATTTATATCCAAATAGTTCAAATTATTTTCATTGATTTATTTATGTATTTATTTTAATTTTAAAGAGATTAAAACCTAACCAAACAGTGAAAGTGATGTAGGACTTAAAAACAAGATAGTACCATCAACTATGGCTACTATAGTACACCTTGTTATCTTCAAAATAGCTACCTGGATCATCAGACATTATAAAACAAAACAGCCATGTGTGGTGGCAAATACCTGTAACCCCAGAATTCGGGACGCTGAGGCAGGAGAATCATAACAAGTTCAAGATCAGCTTGGACTACAAAGTGAGGTCAAGGCCAGCTGGAAATGCATAGTGAGACCCTGTTTCAAAATGACAAACCAAAACAAAGCAGAATAAAACCAAAGTAAACAAAACAATGGAAATGATACAGGACTTCAAAGCAAGATAATAAGAAATCAACAATGGCTAATATAATGCTGCTTGTTATCTTCAAAACAGCCACCCAAACCATCAGACATAGGTGTGTAAAATTAGCCAAACAATAAAAGAACTAAGTAGAAAACTCGAGTGTGTTCCCTTTAATTTATACTATGTCAGTGTCTCCTCCACTTGTTCTGTGTGGGCTGGAAGTCTTAGGTTGTATTTTGTGTGTTTACCTTTGTATTTTCCTGTATTTTTTCCAGATCAGACCGTTGCTGCTTCCTGGGTGGTTTCTGCATTGGCTGCCAGTACTTTGGTAGAGGGCACTGTAATGGACACCTGTGTATGTCCCATCTGTGGCTCCTGGAATCCTGGAGAGGCATGGGACAGTGGTTCATCAACGTTTCCCTGATTGCTCGGGCATCAGACCATGTTGGATTAGAACTTCATGGCATGGGTTCTTCTCTAGGTTTGCATTGGGCTCTAAGATATTTCTTTATAGTGAATTGATTACAGCATTGCCAAAGTTCTGAAATGGCCAACAGACCCTAGAAGACTTATATCTAGGTTCCTGTTTGAAATTAGCAGCTACAACAAACTTCTTGCCTCGATTCAGGGCCCAGATTTCATTTAGTCATTACATAACACATATTTTTGAAAAGTGTCAATCTTAAAACAGAAGAAAAAAACATTTGACCTATGTAGATTATTGCTTAGTGCCTTCGCCTTCTAAAAACAGAATATGGATACTTAGGTAACAGTTGGTGGGTCAGAAAAGAACAGTTCAGATATAAATCTTGACTCTTCACTTAATGCCTAGGTCACTTCAGGCCAATCAAACTACTGAAATTTCAGCCTCTTGATTAACCCAATCGGGAGGAAAAAATGATTATATTTTTATTGTAAAATAAGGTGACAATTTAGAAAAATGTGTAGCATTGTACTTAAACTATGCTACGATTCCAAGAAAAGAGAACCATTATTGTTGGATATTTGTGCAGGAAAATGAATATGCCCTCTAATCAAAATTTCTGATACTGAGAAGATTCTAGAATTCTTTGACTTATTTGACTAAAACAAAACTGCGAAACACATAAAACTCATATTTGATTGTCTTTCCATTTAACTTTCTTTCCAACCTCAAACTTTATTAAAATTTACTCTCAGTAAAAGAAAAATGAATTGTGTTACAGTAAGAGTTGGATTTGAGGTTACTGAAACTGAATTCTCAACAACATTTCATACTTAAAATGTGAACATATATATGTATTCAAACTCTGTGAGCTTTAGGTTCTTCATGAACAGAGAGTGTAATCAAAGTGACTTTTATGTGGCTGGGTTGTGACGATTTATGCAAGAATAATTTTCAAATATTAAATGTCAATTTTATTGAACTAGAAGATAGTTCATGCATTATGAAACTTACAGAGATTTAAAAGATTATTAACACAGATACCCACACTTTGGCGTGAATCTATCTTTAAAGTCATAGGGTGATGTTGCAGCAGCAGAACTACAAATAACCATCATTGCCATACTTGAGTCTAATTTTTCTAGTACCCCCAATCACTCTCTACAACAAGAATGTCTTTTCTCATTTATGTTTTTCCTTTTTCCTTTTTCATTTTCCACCATTACTTTTTTATAGCCTAGTACTTTTGTGCTCATGTCTTTGGAATCTTGGTTAGGAGGTCAAGAAGTATGGCTGAGATGCTTATTTCCACTAATGACATGCTGATGCTTCCTTTCCTGTGTGCCACTCTAATCCAGTGGAACCTCGGATCATGAACTTAATTCTTTCCATGGTTCTGGTTGCAAACCAGATTGGATGAGAGCAGAATCAGATTTCTCCATAAGGTCCACACTGAAACAATCATCGAATTTGATCCTCTTCTCATCCAACTGAGTCTGGAAGCAGAATCACGGAAAGAATTAAGTTCCTGAGCCGAGGCACTACAGTAGTTTTGCCATATCTTAGCAGGGAAAGACTTTGTATTGGAAACTCTAGATCATGAATTAAGCATATTTGTTTATGATCTTGTTTTCTTCAAATATCATGGAAAGTTAATTATTGTAAAAATTAAAGATGGGTTTGAGATGCAAACTGATGTGGCCAGGGCCATAGCTAATTAAAACAGCAGAGTGAACTTTTACTCTGCATGTCATTGACAACAATGACATTGCAAAACATTGAGAATCATTGATTTAGAATATATTGTCACTTAAAATTAAGTCGTTGATCTCTTTGACTTGCTAAGAATCTAAGCCCATCTCCATGTATTGCCATGATATATCCATTGCTTCCAAAAAGTTGTGATAAACATCAGCACTTATTCTGGGAAGATCAATGGTCCTAAGAAATAAACTAGAAAGAATGCCAAAATCTCCTACCAGAAATATCCAAGCTAGGAAAACACCAAAGTCCTGAGAACTCCATGAGGCTATGTCCTACTCACCAACAGCCTTCCAAGAAGCAGGAAAGAATCCATGATCTTAGAGTTATTACCTATGTTTTATGACTTTCTTTTCCCTACGGCCCCAAGGATCTACCCCTAATTACTACCTTCCATAAAGCACCCTTCATGTTCTTATTTCTTAGGGTGCAAATCAGAGGATTAAGAATGGGAGTTACTATTGTATTAAAAAGAGCAACAATTTTCCCTCATTAAAAGATTAACTGTTGATGAGCTATAGGTATGTATAAATGGCTGAGCCATATAAAAGAAAGACCACAAGGAGGTGGGACCCACAAAAGCTTTTCTGTCCCCAAACGTTTTCTTGACCTTCAGAATAGCCTGAGCAATGTGTGCCTAGGAGAAGAGAATTATTACTTCAGGAAGAGCAACAATTATGACTCGGGCCACAAACATCTTGGCCTCAGTTCCTCCTATGCCCTCACAAGCCAATTTTAGAAATACAGGCATTTCACAGAAGAAGTGGTTGAGGTGGTGGCCACAGAGAGGCATGGTCATCATGAGACCTTTTTGGATCAGAAAGTTTATGAAGCCTTCCACCTAGGAGGAGATAGCTAGAGTATGGCAAAGCTGGGAGTGCATGATGATTGTGTAATGGAGTGGACCACACACAGCAGCATAATGGTCAAAGGCCATCACCATCAGGAGCACACACTCAGTGGAGCCCAGAGAGAGGTAGATGTAAAGCTGGGCCAAGCAGCCTCCATAGGTCATGGTATGGTCCTGTCCCTGAAGGTTGATCAGGAGCTGTGGCACAGTGCTGCTGGTAAAACAGAGGTCCAGGAAGGAGATATGGGAGAGGAAGAAGTACATTACAGTGTGCAGTTGAAGTCCGCAGAGAGCAATGATGGAAGTGTTAGGAAGAGAGTTAGGAAGTAGAAAGTTAGGAAGTAGAAAATGGAAATAAAAACAAATAAAAAGAGTTCCACTTGAGGCCAATCTGAGAAGTGTACCAAATGAAGCCATCTGAAAGTGGTGTTGAAACTTCCCATAGCATTTCACCTGCACGAATTCCATTGACAAGTTAATGGTTCCCATGAAAAACATGGGTTAAATACTATTTCACAGTATTCTTCAAACACTACAGAATCATGCATTTTCCTTTATATTTGCTACTGCATTTTATCTTTTTATTTTTTCTTTTCTGTTTTTAGACAGGAGATTACTGGATTAGGAATGGTATATAACCTTTCTTTGTACCCTAGTCTTCTGCTTATTTTGTTTTGTTTTGACTTTAACTAGGCCATTAATTTTTTGGAACTGATTTTACTTGTATAAAAATAGAAATGATCTGTTACCTCTCTGACAGCATTGGATTGTGAAAATTTCCTTTAAAATCCATTGTGTACTTCATACCCATGTTTATTGAAGCTCATTTTACAATTGCTAAGCTCTAGAAATAATCTAGGTGACCATCATATTTGAATGAATTAAAAATATGCCTTCTCATATGCCATATTCTTAGTTTGACTTTAACTTTGGATTTTTTACTGATATTTCCATATACTAGAGCAGAACTATGTCTGATTTGTTCACTGTTTTAGTGCTGGAATATGACTTCCATATAAAAGCTGAATAATTGGCTCTGGTGTTTGCAGTATGGACCTGTAGTAAATTTTCACAGGACCTTAGGAAGCAATGAACCCAGCATTGGGCTCCAAAGTTTTCCCCTCATTTTTATCTCTGTATCTCAGAAACCAAATGCAGTCTGGCCCTGTTCCAATGGCTCAGGACTTGGGTAGCTGTGAGCATTCATGTGCAGAGTTCCAGTGCATGCAAGTGAGAGAGGGTAAAGACATCACTTGGATGCACAGAGAATATTCACAAGCCTCTCTCCAAACAGCAATCCTCCTTTACTGAGGGAAGTGACTAAAATACCAAGCTTTGCTGGGTTCCCTATTCCAAAAGTTGTATTGACATTTAAAAATGATTACTTCTTTTCCTGTTTCTAACATTATTGCACCAAAAACTAAGATATTAAACTCATATAACTGGGTTATAGTGATTCATCCTATCAATCTCCAGGACACTATCTTTCTTCACATTTAAAGTGTAGTGTGTCGTGAGTGTCTAGAGCACTCTGAACTCCGGGCAAGGTAAACACGCACGCCTTGTCGGGACACGGGGGGTACAGCGCTTGGAAAAGAGAGACAGGAGAGACACCTTTGCTGTCTGCACCGCGTTACACTGCATTGCACTGCACTGTACGCACAATCTTTATTTTAGGATTCATATATAGTAAACCCGATCAATTCACAGAGCCCAGATAATTAAGTAGTGAAAAGGCATTCTTTGTGGCAAGCTACAACGTGACAGACTACAATGTTTATTCTAAAACTATCTAAGTGAAGTAAATAATCACAACCAGTTCTCACAACTTCTCTAGCCCAGGAAGAAATTCATTAGCTCAAGAATGTTGTTAATTTGTCTGCTGTTAGTGTCACAAAGGGTGGCCAGCCACTTCCTCAAGACTTCTGCAAAACAAAGCCAGCTCACAGTATGGATTCCAGAGGGTGAGGGCTCACTGAGAACAGGCATTCCCGTTCTACCTCCTTCTCGCATACCAGGGCGGCTATTGTAAATTGCAGGTTAGAGGGGGTTGGGCCTACAAAGTGACACCTCATCCCCCACACTTCCTTCCTTTTTATTTTTTAACAACAATTTCCATAAGATCAGGTTATTAATAGCATTTCGTCTTATGTAGTAAAAATACACAAGAACTATGGCAATGAGAACTATAATTAAACTAAGTCCCATGCCACTAAAAGTGTGGGTAATGCTCTGCCAGATTCCTTTGGAATCTAATCCTTTCAAAGATTGAGCAAGCAATTGCGCGAATTGTGTTAGAGATTCATCATCATTTTGCTTTGTAAAATCCTTGTCAATTTGATTATGCAAAGATTCTATTTCCTCCTGGGCAGAGGTGTTTCCATTTAAATACATTCTAATCATTTCCCATTCAAGTTCTGTCTGATTATAAGGTCGTTGGGTTATACAGAAAGTAGTTGAATTCCAATCACATTTTAAAAACACTTGATGCTGAAGAGCCAATATTTTTCTACCCATCCATTCAACTGTTTGTTTAAGGAGGTCTATTTGTTGTTGTAGTTTGGCGTTTATTTGCCACTGAGTTAACCAAAGTTCATGA